CCTCCAGCTGCAGATGCCTGGCAGCCCCGGGCAGGGTCCCTGTCAGCAGGGCCCGTGTTCTCAGCTCACTGTGGCCCCTGCACAACCACATCATCAATCTGTGGTTTAGCAAAAGTTCACTGAGCCCCTGCTGTGCGCCAGATGCTGATAGGTGCTGAGATATAGTGGGACCCAAAGCAGACAGGAAAAAGCAACCCCTGCCCCCAGGAGCATGCACATGACAGAGCCGGAGTAGACAGATGCCTGCATGCTCCATGTCGGCCTCTGTCAGGTGATCTAGGTGGAACACAGGCAGGGCAGGGCCTGGCATTTTAGATGACAGGCGGTCAGCGGAAGCTTGAGCAAAGACCTGAAAGTGTGGAGGGAGAGAGCCACAGGAACCCTGGGTGCTGATGTTCCAGGCAGAGGGAGCAGCCAGCGCAGAGGCCCTGAAGCGGGACAGGAGGGGGCGGAGCAGCGAGGACACCCCTGTGCCTGGAAATGGAGCAGGGGGCGGAGGGGCCATGTATGATACAACTCAGACCATAGAGGATGGGGACCGGAGGGACTCGGGATGCACTGGATGCCCTGTCTGTTTCCCACGTGGGTTTGTATTCGGCACCCGGCTCCTGGAACCCCCCTGCCCTCTACTTTGGGGACAGGCCTTTGTGACTCTCCATGTACCCCACCCCTTATCCTTCATGGGAGCTGAGAGTGTGGTTTTGGGGCTCATGAACACTGGCACCCACAGCAGAGGAAGTGCCAGCCCAGGTCTGACCCCAGCGTCCTGTAATTTGTAGCCCTCGGCCTGATTATGGGGTGGGTTGGCTTCTGCCCTCCCTCACCTCCACCCCACAGGGCAGGACTGTGCCGCCCATCTGGGGAACAGGAGAAAAACAAGGGGTGTCTCTCCAGGATCCCACCCAGCCCAGGGAGGCAGCAGCCTGGCCGTGGCCATCACTCCTCTGACTCTGCAGCTGTGTCCCGGCAGGGGAGGGGCCACCACCCTTGCCATCCTTACTCCACCGTATCTCCTCATTGCATCTCTGTCTTGTCTCTCTGTGTGTCGTGCTGTCCTGTCCCTGTGTGTTGGATGCCCATCCTGTGTGCCCCACTTCTTGTTGGGCCCCCACCCACCATTGTCCAGGACCCCAGACCATCATGTGGGGCAGCAAAGGTGCCAAGGATGGGGTCCTCACGCTGCTGCTGGGCGAGTTTGAGAACATGTCGGTGACACGCTCCAACTCCCTTCGGAGAGACAGCCCGCCGCCTGCACATGCCCACCAGGAAAATGGGATACCAGAGGAGCCAGCCGCCATGGCCAGAGTGGTCCTGGGGAAGGTAGGCAGTCGAGGCCAGATCGCTGGTCACAGCGAGGCAGGTGGCGGCAGTGGTAACAGGCAACAGGTGGGGCCAGAGAAGAGGCCCAAGTCTTCCAGGGATGTCTCAGGGGGCCCCCAGGAGTCCTCCTGGGACAAACGCCCCCTCTCTGGGCCTCACGTCGGCACCCTCAGCCTGCTGGTCTGGCCAGTGGGGCGAAACTGGCAGCTGGCTGGCCCTTTAACACCTACCTGAGGGATGACACCGACCACCCATCCCGGGGTGCCCAGGTAACCCATCCCCCACCCCAGGGCCCCCGAGGTCCCCTGCCTGTTGCTCCCCCGTCCCCACCTTCCAGCCCCGCCCCGCCCCACCCACCGTGCATCTCATCCTGACCACCTGTGTGTCTGTCCCATTGCTGGGCCTCTCTGGTGCTTAGGGAGCAGAGCTGGCCCCAGGCACCCTTCACTGACAGTTACCTCTCTCTTCTGTTTCACGGGAAGCCTCACGATGTGGTCCCTAATGGGCCATCAGCGGGTGGCCTGGCCGTCCCCCAGTCCTCCTCATCCTCCCAGCCTCCCGCGTGAGCCTGAGGCACCCCCAACCCTGGAGTACTGGGCCCCCACACCTCAGAGCCCCAGCTGACCCCTCCAGCCCAAGCCCCTGCCCCCCCACTGCCCCTGCTGTTCCGGGGCCCCCTGACCCCCACTCGCCACAGCGGGAGCCACAGCGTGTATCCCATGAGCAGTTTCGGGCTGCCCTGCAGCTGGTGGTGGACCCAGGTGACCCCTGATCCTACCTGGACAACTTCATCAAGATTGGCGAGGGCTCCACGGGCATGGTGTGCATCGCCACTGTGCACAGCTCTGGCAAGCTGGTGGCCGTCAAGAAGATGGACCTGCGCAAGCAGCAGAGGCGTGAGCTGCTCTTCAACGAGGTGCAGGAGCTGCTGCCCTGCTCTCCTCTCCCTGCCATCCTCCCTCCTTGCCCTCCCTCCTCTCCCTGCTGTCCTCCCGCCCTGCCCTCCCTCCTCTCCCTACACTCCTCTGTGCTGGGCCAGGCCCCCCTCCTCCCCTCACTGCTCCCCACCCCCAGGCCATCTACTCCACCCTAGGTAGGTCCCTTCTGTCCTCACAGCGTCCTCACCCACATCTCTGTTCCTGAGCCCCAGACCCAGGGTTCCTTGGCCCACTGAACCCCACCCAGTGTCTTCCAGGCCCCTCACATCCACTGAGGCCCACCTGGGCTCCAGGATACAGTGTCCTCCAGACCTGCCCCTCCTGGGTTCCCCATACCCTGCCCCAGCCTGTCAGCCCCGGGCCAGCCGCTCCTCCCAGTCTGCACAGCCCATTGTCTCCCACTCCAGGCCCCACCCCGGCCTCCACTCGGGCGTCCTCAGCACAGCCCACACAACCACCAAGAGGAAGTTTCTCATGTTCAGGCCCACCCCATCCCCATTCCACCTGAGACCCTGGCAGTGCCCCGCAGCACCCTGACAAGAGGAAGCCTGCCCCCCTTTGCCGGGTGTATGAGGCCCCTCTCGACCCGCCGTGCATCACAGCACCTGGCTGCACCAGGAACTCCCCACCTGGGTTCCTCATCCACCCCCACGTGCACGCCTCTTCTCTCATCCTTGCCCAATACCTGTTTGTCCAGCGTCTCAACCCTGAGGTTGAATGCTCTTCCCATCTCCCCCCAGCACCAGCCCAGGACTGACCTGAGATGGGCGTTGTCCCAGGGAGTGCACCCAGAAGGGAGGTGTGGGCTTCAGGCTGCCTCTGAGGCCCATGTGGCTGTGGCAGTAGTAGGGGAGGGCAGTCCATGTGGCCCCATGTAGAACTACTGCAAGGGGACCCAGGGGCGGCAGTGGCTGGGTCTGAGGCGGGCCTGGGCAGCCCCCCTGCCCCCCTCTGCCCCCCTCCCGCCCCCTTCGCCGCTGACCCGGCCCCTGCACAGGCGGTGACCATGTGGGACTGTCAGCGTGAGAACGTGGTGGAGATGTACAACAGCTGCCTGGTGGGGACGAGCTCCGGGTGGTCATGGAGTTCCTGGAAGGAGGCGCCCTCACCGACATTGTCACCCACACCAGGTAATGCTGGGTCCTCAGACTCCTCCTGTGACATGACCAGGTCCCCTCCAGACCGCTTGGGGTGGGGCCACATCTCCAAACCAGCTGTGCTGTGTCCCCCTCGACCCCCCGGGCATGGGGTTGTGTCTTCCATTCCTCCAGCTCCAGAGTGGGGTTGAGCTGTCTCAGGTTCCTCCCAGCCCAAGGCAGGGCTTCATTCCCCTCAGCCCCTGGGGGGCTGTCCACCCGTCTGCTCACCCCCATCCACAGGATGAATGAGGAGCAGATCTTGGCCATGTGCCTGGCAGTGCTGCAGGCCCTGTCAGTGCTTCACGCCCAGGGCGTCATCCACCGGGACATCAAGAGCGACTTGATCCTGCTGACCCATGACAGCAGGGTGAGGGGACAGGCAGTGGGCTGCGGGGGGTCGGGGTTCCCACGGTGGGGCTTCCCTGTCTCTCCCCATCCCCTCTGAGGGTAGGTGGGCTCGATTCCCTAGGCCTGTGTCTTGAGGATCCAGGACTTCATCTGTCCCTCATGCAGCCCAGAGTCGGGCTCCAGTTTGTTGAGGGCTCTGTGTAGTGGGAGGACACGGGCTGGTGGGGGCTCTGTGCAGTGGGAGGACACGGGCTGGTGGGGGCTCTGTGCAGTGGGAGGACACGGGCTGGTGGGGGCTCTGCAGTGGGAGGACACAGGCTGGTGGGGGCTCTGTGTAGTGGGAGGATATAGGCTGGTGGGGGTTCTGTGCAGTGGGAGGTCACAGGCTGGTGGGGACTCTGCCATCAGCACAGGATGCTGGGTCTAGGGTCAGGGTCTGGGCAGGCAGCGCAGCCCCCACTACAGGCTTCTCCCTCCACTGAAAAGCCGCTGCCTGCCCAGTACCCAGGTCGGACCATGAACCCAGCCCTATCTCCCATACTTTCGACTTAGGTTCTGAACCCCAGGCTGTGGCACTTACAATGCAGGGTGGACATGACTTTCTGTAGGACAGGGCCCTTGATTCCAATGGAATTCTTGCAGAAGTGGATGACTCCATCCCTTCCCCCAAGGAAAATAAAACCCCACCAGTCAGTCTAGGCAGAGGCAGAGAGAGCTCTTTCACTGACAGTCCGTGGAAATCTCAGGATGTCTGCAGATATGTTTTGGGGGTGACATCTGTAGGCCACCTGAGATTGTCGTCCCGTGGTTGTGGGGGTGTTCTCTGGAAACAAGAAGACCCATAGAGATCCTCAAAATTCAGAAAGGGGGCCAGATGCAGTGGTTCACACCTGTAATCCCAGCACTTTGGGAGGCCGAGGTGGGTGAATCACGAGGTCAGGAGTTCGAGACCACCCTGACCAACATAGTGAGTGCTCCTGGTAGTTAATTTCAGGTGTCAACTGACTGCATTCAAGAACTCTAGAAACTTGGGAAAGCATTGGTTTTGTTTTTGGGTGTGCCCGTGAGGGTGTTTCCAGAGGAGATGAGCTTAGGAGTCTGAGTGGATCAGGTGGGGAAGATCCACCCTCAGTGTTGGGGGCATCATTCAAGAGCCTTCGGTCCTGGAGAGGACAGAGAAAAAGCAAATGTGTCCACCTGCCTGCTGGAGCTGGGATGCAGTTTTCCTCTCCTCTCCTTGACAGCAGCACTCCAGGCTTGCTGGCCTGGTCTCCAGGACTTGTCCCAGCAGTCCCTCGGACTGAGAATTACACCATCAGCTCTACTGGCTCTTCAGACTTGGACTGTGCCACACTGCCAGGCTCCTAGGGTTCTGGTTTGCAGACGGCCTGTTGTGGGACAGTCTCCCTAATTGTGTCAGTCAGTTTCCCTAATAAAGCCCCTCTCGTGTGTCTGTCTCTGTGTCCTGTTGGCTCTGTCTCTTTGGAGAATCTTCTTACAATGCTTTGAGGGGAACGTGCCACCTGAGTGCTGAGCACCGCCTCCTGGGCACCAGCTGTCCGTCTGTGCAGTTGACATTTAGTCGGTGGCTTGGTGGCAGGGGTCTGGTGGCATGCTTTCTTGCTTCCATTTTTTGTCTGGTAAGTTGGCAGCGCGGCTCCCAGTTGCCTCTGAAGAATGTGATTACAGACACTGGTGTATTATGGGCTCCAACATGCGTTAGGGGAGTGGGGCTACCCAGAGGGCCCCTGACTGCACAGCTGATGGCACGTGGCAAGGCTGTATCTGATCAGTCTTTGTCCGCCTCCAGAGGGAAAGCAACCATGGAAGACCTAGGGGAAAACACCACGGTTTTATCCACCCTGAGATCTTTGAACAACTTCATCTCTCAGTGTGTGGGGGGAGGATCTGGACTGGATATTCCCACCTCGGCCCCAGGTTCTCTGCAGATGCAGTACCAGCAGAGCATGCAGGTGAGTGGCATGTGCCTGGGTGGGAGTCTTCTCTGGGGAGACCCCTAGGCCCAGGCAGGACCTGCTGAAGTCTTTTGTAGTTGAGGTGGGTCAGTATTAGCTCAGCCTAGAGACCGGTTACTCGTCTTCCAGGTCTCACTGTGGGTACTCCTTATTTTGGGGCAGTAGCTGGAGGCCGTTTGGGGCCCTGAGCCATCATGGCTTAAAGGCCTGCCTTGTTAGCACGCTGAGTGGGCCTGGCGTTCAGCATTGTATTCACACAAGTGCACCCACAGACTCTGGTGACAGGATCGGAAAGCCAGTTCATTCGTCTGATTGAGGACAGAATCCAAACTGCCTGGGAGTGTGAGCACCAGGACTGTGTGGGAAAGCTGTGTTGAAAACACAGTGCCCGATTAGCTCAGAGAGAAAGCCACGGCAGTGAGCAGAAGGACTGGGTGTTTTGTGGTCTCAGACTGTGGAGGGCCATTTGCAGATTTTGGGGTGATTTTTATAGTTTTCTTCTATAAAATAGTTGTATTTTACTTCATTACAAGTTCTTGGGATTGCTCACTGTAGACACAGCTGCAGAGGACTCAGGTATCCTGAAGGATTTCAGGTTCCAAAGAGTGATGGGCGCAGTCCCAGTTGGGAAGTGGTGGGGAATGGTGTCTCCAGCCTTGCCTGGGCCCTGTGGCTGCACCGGCTTCTATAGGCTTCTCTGCCTGGGCCCTCTTTTGTAGTCCCTGCTGCAGGCTCCAGAAGCATTCTGTAGTCCTGTCCCTGTTCGAGGAGGCTCTGGCTTCCTGCTGCTTTCGGAGCCCAGTTGAGGCCCTGCTGCATTTGGTGAAACCGTGGTGTGTGTCTGTGCATTCGTTTTGTTGCATAATTGAATTAACATGTGTTTTTTAGAATGTTAGCTTGCTCACTGCCCTTTCTTGATGAGGACTGTTTTTTATTCTGAGATAAGGCCTTTTATATGTATAGATATTTTATTGTTAAAATGCTCTTTTATGAAATTATGGTAATAGATGGTAGTTATTTTTTATCACTGGCAAAATTAGAAGTTGCTAACTCTGAGCTGGGTGTAGTGGCTCACGCCTGTAATCCCAGTACTTTGGGAGGCTGAGGTG